GTCATGGTATCATGGTTTGTTAGTTTGAGTCCCATATAGGCTCTGTACTGGCAGTGCAGAGCCTGCTTGGGATTCTCTCTCCCCCTCTTTCTGCCCGTCCTCCTTGCATATGCACACTCTCTCTCAAAATAGATAAAGTTAAATAAAATTTAAAAAAATAAATAAAAGATCCTTAAGTGTAAATATCAGAGGTACACTGAAAGTATCCAAGAAAAGAGGAACATAAAGGTAAAAGTGTAAGAAAAAATGTTCTAATGAAGTTATGACTAGTAGTCCCAGAGGAGTTATAAAAATCCAGTGGAAAAACCTGTTTCTTAATCTAAGTTTGAAAGGAATTTCACTATGGCCATAGTCTTAAGGAAAGCAGATAAATTCTGTGGATGTCAGAAGCTTTAAAAGTGGATATGAAAATGGGGTGCGTGGATGGCTCAGTTGGTTAATTAAGTGTTCAACTTCAGCTCAGGTCATGATCTCACAAGTTCACGAGTTTGAGCCCCACAGTGGGCTCTGTGCTGACAGCTCGAGCCTGGAGCCTGCTCCAGATTCTATGTCTCCCTTTCTCTCTGCCCCTCCCCTGCTCATGCATGTTCTCTCTCTTTCTCTCTCTCAAAATAAACAAACATTAAAAAAAAATTTAAAGAAAAGGCCTCTGACCTAAATCCTCCCCCCTCCCCAAGGTAAGAGGATGGCAAGACAGTGAATAAATGTACATTTGTGTATTTTCTTAAGGCAAAATATTTATGGTATGGATCTATTGTGGGGTTTTTTTGTTATTCACTGCAAGCTTTTTTGTTTAATCAACCAAACACCCGTTGTTACTATGTAGAATAAGAGGTCCTCTACATATTCTACCTTCTGCAAGGAAAATTACATCTATAACAATAAAGTTTTTTTTTAAACCACTATGGTATGCAAGAAGAAAACTTAAATACAGAATGAGCAATATCAAAAACAAAATAATTTTAAAGACTACTCAGTTAAACATTTAAAATTAAACATCATCTGGTTCAATTTTCCTCATTTCGTAAGAGAAGAAACTTTCCAAGGTCAGATAATTAGAGATGGAGCTTAGAAAAAAGTCTAAAAGAAAGGCTCTATACGTAATAATCTATCATCTGAGAAGTACCGCACTTAAAAACCATTTGTACTTTTACCAATCTTAGTAACAAAGAACATCTTAATCATCAGATACAATGAAAAGTATAAGCTGGGTGGCTCAGTCAGTTAAGCATCCAACTCTTGATCTTGGTTAGGGTCGTGATCTCACAGTTCAGTTCCTGAGATCAAGCCCTGAGTCGGGCTCTGCACTAATAGTACAGGGCCTGCTTGGGATTCATTCTCTCTCCCTCTCTCCCTCTCTCTCTCATTCTCTCTGCCCCTCTCCTACTCATGCTCTCTCACACTCTCAAAATAAATAAATAAGCTTAAAAAAAAAGGGTAAGCTATAAAAACTGAGTATTCTGGTGTCCTCAATGGACTGATTTCAATTAACCAGAGGGGTCAGAATCTTCCCTTTCAAAAGTAAGCTCTAGGAAATTCTTATGTATAGAATTCCAAGCAAACTGTATAAATTAGTGACTTCTAAACTATAATGATGGGGGGGCGCCTGGATGGCTTAGTCAATTATGCATCCAACTCCTGATTTCAGCTCAGGTCATGATCTCACACTTGTGAGATTGAGTCCTGTGTGCCTCTGTGTGGACAGTGCACAGCCTGCTTGGGATTCTCTCCCTCCCTCTCTCTCTCTGACCTTTCTTTCCCTACTCACACATGCACTCTCTCTCTCAATACATATAAACTGAAAAACAATAAATAAATAAATAAATAGCTAGCTAGCTAGCTAGCTATAATGATGAATAGCCCTAAAATAAAATTTGGATCCCAACTCATTTCAATCCATCTTCAGCCTTAGAACTCCTAGGTGTAGCAATGCAAATCCTAATAAAAATCCAATGCATTACTACGGGAACTTGACAGGCTTATACAAAAATGGCACAAGTATAAGAAAAAAGAAAAAAATTAAAGATTAATTTTTAATCTGGTTTGCCAGATTCAAAAAATTATAAAGCAAGATTATAGTATTGACAAAGAAAGATGAGGAATTATTATGGGCAAGAATAGGTATACACACTTTAAGGATATTAGTATATTAGAAAGATGGTATAATGAGTTGCCAATATTCAATTAACGGTAAAAATAAAGTTCGACTCGCTACCCCTTGACATTCGGAAGAGTATTATTCTCTTGGATTTAAAACAGAACACAGACATTAAAAAATAAAACGGTAAAAGTTTTGACTATAGAAGTCTCTTAAAAGTGTTTGTAAAACTCAGAAGCAACAAAGGACAATCAGATAGGCCTTCATATATGTTAAAAGCCT